CTCTGTAAAGACGTAAGGCAACAGAGTAATTCTCACTCAGAACCGAGCCCAGTGATTGTTTCCCCATTGAAAATGCAAAATCAGGAAAATTGGGCCAAACTGGGAATTAAACCTAGCCCTTTTCCAAAATGACTGAACTGGGATGAAACTAAATATAAACACAAAAAGGTTCCCCAAACCACCCAAACAGCCTTAGTTCTGGTCNCTGGGTGCTACAATGTTACTTTAAGAGGGATGTCCCAGCATGAAATCCTGAATTAATAAAGAGCCTTTAGGTGAAAAGAATTAATCATGTCACGAAAGGGGTTACCCAAAGTCTCTGATAAAGTTAAGCGTTTGTTTACAGATCATTAGGCACATAATTGATTTCTGCTTTTCCAACATCAGCCCCATAAGGGAAGGAGAGCATCTGTCTTATTCACTCCTGTATTCCTAACATTTACATAGGACCTGGCCTGTGGTAGGCTCAATAAACATTTGTTTATTAAGTGAAGATTCAGGTTCCCCCACCCCATGCCATCTGTCTCAGCCTGAACTACTGGAAAGCAGAGCCCAAGGCTTCTGGCTTCCCACTCATGGAGGTCAAATTCTACTCATGGACCTGTGTGGTTTTTTGTTTTTCCTATGTTTTTAATCATGGTAAAATATACGTGACATAAGATTTGCCATCTTAACCACTTTTATGTGTACAGTTCAGTGGTATTAAATACATTCATAACATTCTGCAAACATCACTACCATCCATCTCCATAACCCCTTTCAGGTTGTAAAACTGAAACTTTGTACCCATTAAACAGTAACTCTCCATTCCCCCCTCCCCCAGCCCCTGGCAACCACCCTTCTCCTTACTATGATTTTGACTGCTCCGAGTATCTCATCTAGGGTGAATCATACAGTATTTGTCTTTTTGTACTGGCTGATTTTACTTAGCATAATGTCTTTAAGGTTCATCTATGTTGTAGCATATGTCAGAATTTCCTTCTTTTCTAAGGCTGAATAATATCCCATTGTCTGAATGTACAGCATTTTGCTTATCCACTCACCTGTTCTTAGATAACTTGGGTTGCTTCTGCCTTCCAGCTCTTGCAAATGTATTAGTCTGTTTCTGTTGCTTAGAATAAAACACCTGAAACTGGGTGATTTATAAAGAAAATAAAATTTATTGCTTACAGTTTCTGAGGCTGGAAAGTCCAAAGTTCATCTGGTGGTGGCGACAGTGACCCAGGGGTCTCACATTGTAAGATGGTGGAAGTAGAGAGAGCAGAGAGAGAGAGACAGACAGACTCACTTTCCTTTTAAAGCTCTCAGAACCATGCCCTTGACCTCCACTTTTAATCCATTCACTACTGCACAGTCTTATAATCCAATCACCTCTTCAAGGCTCCACCTTTCAATTACCATAATAGGATTTCCCACTCTTTTAATAGTCACAGTGGGGACGAAGTTTCTAATACATAAAACTTGGGGAACATAATTCAGGCTTCAATGAGTTTTGTGGGGTCATAATTCAATCCATTACAGCAAATAATGCTGCTATGAACATGGGTATGGAAAGACCTCTTCGAAGACCTCCTTTCAATTTTGAAAGTTTGTGCACTCAGAAGTGGAATTGCTGGGTCACATGATAATTCTATTTTTAATTTTTTAAAGAACTGTTATACTATTTTCCACAACAGCAGCAGCATTTTATATTCCCACCAACAACACACAAGGGTTTCAATTTCTCCACGTAGTCAGAAATACTTGTCATTTTCTGTTTTTTGGATAGTAGCCATCCTGACGGGTGTGTGCTATCTCATTGCAGTTTTGATTTGCATTTTCCTGGTGACTGTGATGTCGAGCATCTTTTCTGTGCTTATTGGCCGTTTATATGTCTTCTTTGGAGAAATGCTATTCAAGTCCTTTGCCCATTTTTGAATCACGTTGTTTAGATTTTTGTTGTTGAGTTCTCCCTTGGAGTTTTACATCTTTGCACATCTGGGTTGCTCTCAGGTGAACAGAGTGTCCCTGATGTCTCACACCTCAGCAGCTACAGAGACGCCCAGGTTAGGAGGGGAGTGGGCACAGCAAGTTCAACAACTGACAGAACAGGGTGACTCTAAGTCAGGGGTGAACCGTGGCCCGGCAGCCTCTGGGAGCTCATTGGTCCTGATGAACAGGAGGGACTGGCCGTGGCCTGAAATCCAGGATGCTGTGACTGCCACTTAGAATCCAGTATCCTAGACCAAGAGGTTTTCTTTTTTTAAAAAAAAGCAGCTGTAGGGCAATGGAAATACATGAAATTTGGATCCAAAATATCTGGGGCTCAATTACATATACCACTGATCAGTTGCATAACCTTGATTTTCCTGAGCCTCAGTTTCCTCATTGTGAAATTGTATAACAAATGTAAATCAGACTTAGATGAGATATTGAAGGTGGATGTGACTTTGTGGAGGGCAGAAAGACATGGGGACACTAGCCATTGCTCTCTGTATCTCCTCCCAGGGCCATGGGCTGAGTGGTATCAGGAGCAAAGACTTTCTCCCCACCCCTCCCTCTGCTTTTCAAACTCCCCTCTTCTTCAAGGACTAGCTTGTGCCCTAGCTCCTCCCTGAAGCCCTGCTTGGCCTCATGGACTCCTCTGATTGGCCTCTGCCTGTACTGTCCTGGTCACCATCAGTTATTTATACATACTGCCAACTGCCCACTTCTGCACTGTGGTCCTGAACCACCAAATATATTCATTATTTACTTCTCCTGTTTGTTTTTGTCTCCCCAACTCACCTCTACCTGCATGTAAAGCACAGCATCTCCCACCTCTTAGCAGCCTAAAGAAGTGGCTCAGAATGTGGGGTGGGATAAACCTGAAAAGCACTCATCACTTAAGGTGACAGTCCAGAGAGACAAAATGACCTACAAAACTTACCCATCTCCAGTGGTAGGATGGTACTAGAAGTGGGCCCCCTTGGTGCCCAGAGACACTCTCAATGGGGGTGGAGGTGCAAAGGGGAACTGATTTTGCAAATTACACAGGTCCCTCCCAGGGCAACCAGTTGTGAGGTCTAACAAGATAATGACAAATATTTCTGATAGGTGGTGTCATGCCTGGAGAAGATGTGAAGGCAGAAACAAAGTTGAGAGCCCTTTGGGCAGTGGGCTTTGAAACTAGACTGATCTAGGCTTAATCCTGCTGTTGCCCTCACCAGCCATGTGATCCCAGGAAACTTCACCCTGTATAAGTAACAAGTGCTTTTAGAGCCTGTGGGTGCTGGGCACACTCGGCAGTGACAAGATTCGATCAGGCCCCTACTAGGTTGCATGATAATCTATTGGGTGGTGTTCCTGAGAGGAGGATGGAGTGTTTTAGCCCCTGTAAGCCTCAGTTTCCCCAAGAAGGATAATCTCTACCTCTTTGGGGAGTTCGGAAGACCAGATACCGCCATGACGGGGGCCGGCAGGAAAAGGACATCCAGAGGAGGCTGGCTCCTGCTTCTTGCCCCTTGGGGCTCTGCCATGCCTTCTTGTGCACACCTCATCCATTTGTCCAGTGAATGAAAATAAGCAAGGAATGTGCCTGTCACCTATAGCTGGGGACAGACTATCAACCAGGGCAGAATGTCCAGGATTTATCCTGGGGTAATTAAATGTAGAGGGTGGAAGCATTATAAACAAATTTTGAAATGGTGTGAACTATTAAGCACCCTCCTCCTCCAAGACTGCATCCACCCCTGCCCCACACTTCCCTGCCCTGGGTCACTCCTGCCCCTGGGTAGAGCAACCTCAACCCCTGGCCAGCCACGTCACTCCCCGTCCACCACAGCCACTGAGAGGGGAGTGGCAGGAGGCCCAGGGTGGCAGGCAGGAGACTTCTTGGGAGACTGTGCCCTGGGTCTGTGACTGCCTTAGCCTGAAGGCCATTTTGTGGGCTGCCCACCCAGGATGCCAGCAGTTCAAGCTCTAGATCTGGTCATCAGTTCCCAGCTTCCTGGGGACTGGGCAGGTCCCCACATGGCTGCCTGTTACATAACTTTGAATCTCTCAAGTAGGAGTGAACAAAGTCCTTAATGGAGGCAAAGATAGATTTCACTTCTCTGTGTGAGGCAGCCCCATGCTCTTAAGGCTTGATAAGCAGGTGGGTCTTTGTGAGTAGAAAGATTCCCTTTCTTCCAAAGTAACCAAACTCTACACCAGGGCACACAGCTGGAAAGAGGTGTGCAGGCTGCATTGACTGCCATGCTTGGCCCTCATCCAGACACTTCTGTGCAGTGCACAAGCCACTCAAATGAACACGGCAGCCCTAGTCACAGGTAGGTGTTGTGTGCTCCCTGTGAGCTGACACTATGCTAGGCAGGGGGAAGACAAGACATAATCCCTTTGCTCATGGGTCTGACCCAAAAGTTGGAGAGACCAACCAAACAGGCCAGCCTATGACCAAAACAATATAGGGTGAGATCAGTGCTGCAAAGCAACGAGCAGAAGGTGGTGATAGGGAGGGACAGGCTTGGGGAGGGCATTGATTGATATAGGAGAGTCAGAGAAAGCCAGTCAGACTTCAGGTATGAGATGGAGCCAGCCATGCAAAGAGCTGGGCAGGTTGGGGTGGGTGATTTGGGGGAAGACAGTAGGAGCTAGAAGCCAGACCAAGGAAAGAGTTGAGCCTGTCTGAGAAGAAGCCGTGGCTGGCTGTCAGTGAAGGAGGAAGGATTTGGGGCAATGTTAGACAAATGAGTAGTGATCAGCTAGGCAAACCCTCACGGGTCACTGCAAGGAGTCTGGACTTGATTCCAAGTATGGTGGGAGCCACTGGCATTTCTGAGCCACTAAGTGGAGAAGGGGAGTGAGAGAAGAGATAAGAGAGGGAGACTGGGAGGAGAAAGAATGTAGAGGTGAGAGGTGCAGATCAGAGCCCCAGAGGCAGGACCACTCAGAGTAGGCCAGATGCTGCAGTGGGCACAGCCATAGGGTGGAAGGACGAGGAGCTGATGACCAGGGTCCCCATCTCAGTGGGCCCTGGCATGATGCATGATGTCATGGATTCTGGTGGGTTTGGAGGTGGTGTTTTACCCTCGCAGGTTGTGCTCTTTGGAGCAGAATGGAACCACACCTCTCCCTGCAGCCTCCCACGACAGGTCAGGTCACAGCATCTTACTTCCATGGATAGAAAACAGGCAGAAGGTCTCCTCATGGACTAATCAGTGATTTGTGTTTGCAGTTCAATGTTAAAAAATCCATGGAACCTGTCCAGCCCCGAGCCCTCCTCAAGTTCCCAGACATGTATGGCCCCAGGCCAGCTGTGACGGCTCCAGAGGTCATCAACTATGCAGACTACACGCTGAGGACCACAGAGGAGCCTGCGGCACCTACCAGCCCTCAGGCCTCAAATGACAGTCGCCTCAAGAGGCAGGTCACAGAGGAGCTGTTCATCCTTCCTCAGAATGGTAGGGGTCTCCTGCCCCTCACTCCTCCATGGCCAGCACTCAGGTGTTTTGTCAATGCCTCTCTAGATACTGTGTGTGGCCTGGTTAAGGGCTGTCAAAGAGCACCAAAGTCCATGGCACTTGACACTGGGCAAGCAGGTGTGCACAGGGCCTCAGAGTTACAGTCCTTTATTCCTGCTGATGTAGCCACTCTGCTTTTCTCCCAGGCCTCCAGCTTTCCATTGGGAAGTGGAGCATCCCTTTCAAGACGTGTGTGCAACTATAAAGAGTCATGGTTAAATCCACCGTGGAGCTGGAGATGGGTTGAGAGTGGGTTGCCTGAAACAGGGTCTCCAGACCCACACAGGCTGTCACAGTTCCCTTGCTGAAAGCTCACCCCAGGTCAGGCCCTAGGCTAAGAACTTTTTCTGCTTTATTTCATTAAATGTTCACCATCACTCTAGGAATGAGGAACTATTATCGCCTCCATTGTGAAGATGAGAAAGTTGAGGTTCAAAGAAGTCAAGTGACTTGTCCAAGGTCACATAGCTATTATGTAGCAGTTCATGTCCAACACCAAAGACCACACCTTAACCACTGGGCTATGATGTTTCTTTGAAATGCAGTGCCCATGACCACAAGTGTGGCCCTGGCATGGCCACCATTGTTGTACATGCAGCTAGGAAGCTTTGGGTTTGGATTCGTGCCATAGGTGGCAGAGAGGGGAAAGATATGATCAGGAAAACAGTACCCCAGCATGGGAGGCAGTGACAGCTTTGCCTCTCTTAACAGGTGTGGTGGAGGATGTCTGTGTCATGGAGACCTGGAACCCAGAGAAGGCTGCCAGCTGGAACCAGGCCCCCAAACTCCACTACTGCCTGGACTATGACCAGCAGAAGGCTGAATTGTTTGTGACTCGCCTAGAAGGTACTGATCTTACTTGACTTTCATGGGCTTTTGTGTGTCCCTCTCCCTGGAGTTACTGTGCAGGCAGGAAGGGGACATCTGCAGCTGGAGAGAGCACTGGATCAGCACTCTGACAAACAGATCCCTAAATGCATGACACTCAGACATAGGTTTCTTTTCTCCCTCTCTCTCATGTGTAGCAGTCCAAAGTGGGGATTCCTGGCTGACAGACATCTTCCCTCCAAATGGTGATTTAAGGACCAGGCTTCTTTCATCTGTGGCCTCATAGTGCCCTCCGGCCTCCTTGTCATCTCTCTAGCAGGTGGAAGGACAAAGAGAACGAGGAAGGGCACAATTACTCTTTAATAACCTTGACCTGGACATGGCAGACGTCACTTCTGCTCGCATTCCATTGGCTGGAACTCAGTCATATGGACACCCAGCTGCACAGGAGGCTGGGAAATGCAGCCTAGCAGGGTGTCCAGGAACAAAGGAAATGAATTTTCAATGAACAGCCAGCTGTCTCTGCCACATGTGACTTTGACATTGGACAGGGTTTTGTGCTAGACACAGAGGGTGTTCTGAATGGTCAGAAAAGCTTCTGCAACTCAAGAACCAGGCAGCCTCTTTGAGGGGATCAGGACATCCCACCTTGACACTATACTACCAGGAAGCAAAGCTAAGATGTTGCAAGGGAATCAGGCTAGCAATGGGGTCAATGAATTGGACTTTCATATTTAATTTAATTTTTTTGAGTAAGTGTTTTTCCTTTGGGTTGTATTTTAAGATTTTTAAGCACTTTCGTATACTTTATTACATTTGAGCTTCACAATAGTTCCATTTTAAAGATTGGGAAACTGAGGTGTGGCAACTCATATGACCTAAGATCACTCCAACTAGCTAGTGACAGAGTCATGGCTGAACAGTCCCTTGAAGCTCATGGGACTTTCTATTAAGACTCATGGCCTCTGTTCTTCACCTTCTCTTCCTGTGAAATGTCAGCAGCCAGTTCCGAAATTATCACTGAGGATCTAGTCATAAAAGCACCACAGGTGCAAATTTCTAGGTAAATCCACGTCATGAAGCATGAGAAACACCAGGATTCAGAATATAAAACAACACTCATGAGGTAGCAGCCAACTGATTCACATCACAAATGGTTGTGTTTATGACAAATATTTAAAGTACAGAACAAGTGAATTACAGTGTCAGCAGTACTAATAAAGGCCATCAGCAGTGGGCCCTGACACCTCGGGGAAATCTCAGAATCATGAGTTTGGAAGGGCCCCGGGAAGCACTGAGCCTGTCCCTGTTCTCCAAGGAAGACCAGCGTTTGCTGACATCGGCCCCTCAATGATAGCTTTTGCTAAATGTCTTACTGCAAAGTGATTCCACAGTGTCTGGGGTGGTCAGCCCTGGGGTCTCTCAGACACCCAAGGTCATGACTATTAAGCTGGATTCTGTAGCCCTAAGCAGGGCGTGCTTTTCTCCTCCCCGTGTGCTCAGGAAGTCCCATGTATGTGTCACTGTCTCCTTGCCTACAGCTATGACCAGTGACCATGATGGAGGCTGTGACTGCTATGTCCAAGGCAGTGTGGCCAGCAGAACTGGCTCTGTGGAGGCCCAGACGACCCTGAAGAAGCGGCAGCTGCACACCACCTGGGAGGAGGGCCTGGTGCTCCCCCTGGCAGAGGAGGAGCTCCCCACAGCAACCCTGACGCTGACCCTGAGGACCTGCGATCGCTTCTCCCGTCACAGTGTGGCTGGGGAGCTCCGCCTGGGCCTGGATGGGGTGTCTGTGCCTCTGGGGGCCGCCCAGTGGGGTGAGCTGAAGACTTCAGCTAAGGTAGAGTTACCTATCGGCCAGAAAGGTAAAACCTGTGAGTGGAGCAGGGGATGGCAGAAATGGGCATCCTCCAAGCAAATAGGGGCCCAGGCTTATGAACCAAGCTTCAGAGCCCTTCCCAGCATGGGAGTTAAAGGAAGGTTGGAGTCGTGAACAGGGAAGAGGGCTGGAGTAGGCCCTAGCCTAGGATTTGGGATTCCTGATGTCTGCTCCAATTCTTGCTTCTAGCCAGCCATGCAAAGACCCCCCCCCCCCCCCCCCCCCCC